CGCAATCAACATGCAAGTTGCTATGATTTTCACATACTTCTAAAACACGGATCAAAATTGCACCTGAACACTTGTGCAAGGTCTTGGGGGCTACAGCGTGTGCAAAGCACCTGCAAAATACAGTATCAAACGGCTGTAATGGTTATTCAAGTGTGGGCACAGTTTGTGAGGTCACGTCTTAGATGCTGTTAACAAACCTAAAAGAAAGACTACAGATAGATGACATGAAAAATTATGGATTAAATAAACTGAAAGAAAGTGAACTGCTGTATTTTTTAAGTTTTAATAGATTTTAAGTTGTTATGAATGTTATTATTGAAAATATCTAAGGAATTAATTAATTAGCTTTTCCAAAGTCGAGTATGTAAAGCTAAATGTCAACACCTAACGAGCCGTAAGTGTTATAAAATAAAGATAGATATTGAACTACAATAGGTCTAAACCCTAAATATTTGTGTTAAGTTTTTATATTTTCCCCTTTAATATCCAGGATGGTTAAAGGTCACCATTTTGATCTTTCTCCCCACACACAGAATATTCTTGATACATAATTTTCTGGAAATGTTATGACAGGAAGTTACATATTTGCTAGCAAACACCTGCTTTCAAGTAGTTTATTACTTGATTTCTTTTTTTCATATCTCTATTGCTATATGCTCTACCTAGTGGTTTCAAAAAGCACCTATATAGTTTCTTGCATAGAACAACATCACAAATGCTCACCTTAATTAATGCATAGCAGTAACAAGATAAACAACAAGTGCTCTAGATATATTACTTCTTTTGTTCAGAAAAAAACTTAAATTATTGATTGAAAAAGAACAGAAAATAAAAATGAAATAAACTAATAATAACTGAAGCACAGCCTATTAACACAACTACAATTTATTTAGAAAATATAAGAAAACCAGCACAGCTGTTGCTGTTCAATTATTTTGATCTATAACAAAATAAATTGCTCATTATTAAAATTATTCTGCTTCTCTCAATTATTTCAGCTATAGTCCGTGTCAGTTCATTGGTCTAAAATGAAATTCAACAAGGATCTCCGTATTAAAATTGTTAAAAGTGATACATCTTTACTAGAGAAACTAAATTTTGAATTTGAAAATACTGTGAAACTTGAATAGGACATAAGTGATAAAAATACAAAGCCATCTGGAAGGATGCAAATTGAAAATAAAAACCAGAAGCTATTCTCTACTCATTCTACACAATCACAAAAGGCTCATACTGCCCATCAGCTGCATGTCATCCAGTGTGTATTTCAAATAAGACCCACCCACCCCCCAACACACACCACTAAAAATAGGATTAAGTGCTCTCTGTCTGGTCTGGACAATTTCAGTCCCTTATGAAGCAGAACGAAGTTGTCTATCTTCTTCACTTAAAGTGCTGTGAGACTAGTCCTTACATTCTGAATGAATCCTGTGATGATGTATATAACTGTTTATGGGTAAAGGATGAGGTCACTAGGACATACTTTGATTTCCCACTATTTATGTAGGAAACTCAGTGAAAACCTTATTTCACGAAACCTAAAATTCATCCAAAGGGGTTTAAATGAAAGTCTTAGAATTTTTTGTCCACTCCTGCATTTTAATCCAAGTTCTAATCACTTAATTAGAGATGATTTAGTAATTTAACACATCCAGGAACATACCATAGCTCTGGAACTTGAATTCTATTGTTTTCATAGTAAAATTATGATGGGGAAGAACAATAAAAGAAAAAAAAAGAACCACAAAAAAACCCCACAAACAGGTCCTCCTTCAAATTCTGGCAAATAGATCCCATGAGGAAAATATATTAACTTGAATTAAAATCTTGTTCATCTCTTAAGTATGGTTTCCTCTAAAAGCCACTTTTGCAGCAAGGGTGTGAGAAGTGGTTGGGTTTGTGGTACACAGCCAAAGCAATGAACTGAACACAAGTGTTCTGCCACCTCAAGAGAAGGGAATTTAAACATGCAACATGCATACTTTTTGGACAACTTATTGACAAACTTTTTACTTATTTATATTTTTTAAATTTTCAGTAATAATACTGAAATATCAGTACACACCCATGTCTAACTTTCTCATTATTTTTCAGTAAGCAATAATTGCAGGAACTCTGTTTAAAAGGAAACTCAGTAATTCCATTGATTACTTGGTGAATTTGAAGAGACTCTGGAGCTGCAGCAGACTATGATATCATGACAGGAGTTTTTAGATCTTACAACTATGTTCATTATTCACCAAAGGAAATAATGGATTTCTAGACTGTTGACAGAGAGAAGCAGTTTGATATAAAATAAAAGTAAAATCAAAATTATTTTAATTCATCGGGATATATTGCAAAGAAAAAGTAATCAAAACCTATAGTTCTATTTTAAAAAATACATTTTAATAAATGGGTACAAGCTGAATAAAAGGGAAAGTAATTACTTGGTCAGTAAGAACCTCAGAGGGAAGCAATGCCCACGCACCTCAAATAAAGAATGCTTAGACAGATCCGATATAGGGGCACTTCCTTTAGAGCAAGCCTCTGTTTGGAGTGCAAGTCATTCTAGCTAATGGATAAGTCATGTTCATTGACAATCACATTAGCCCTTTTTGCTATTTTAGTTAAATAAGGCTAATCATTTAGCATGCCTAATTTATATAGCTATGAGGGTGGGTTATCAGTACAGATGTACTGAAGCATAAAAGAGTTGGGAACACTGGGAACATTGACCTATCTGTCAAATTTGATCAAGCCAAATGAAATTAAATTTGTTAATCTTGCTTCACAATCCTACCCTCATGCACTCTAAACACTAATACATTTTGTATTGCACTGAGATGCACAGCCTACAGTGAGACTTTTTATTTGGATTAATCAGAATCATGTATGAGCTATGTTAACATTTGAAGTAAGGTACATGACTTTTAAAATTAGAAGACTAAGAGTAGGACTGCAAATCTGCAAGTATTTGTAACATGTATTTACATGCCCAGATCTTACCTTAAAGGACGAGACTACAACTTAATATTTTAATAGTTACAGCTAATAAAAGAAATCAGGATATTTCTCATTAAACAGAAAGACTTCTGGTTTTGTGTGTGTATATACACACAACTACTCAAGCTTCAAAAACTAACCAATGCAAGTCTCTGGACTTTTCTGTTCTCTAAAATAGTGATTAATGCTATTTTTGTGCCTAAAGCAAAGGTTTCTGAGGCCAAAAGAACACAGCTCTCCTAGTACCCACTCAGGCCTCACTCCACAAGAAACATTTTTTAATCAGTTTAAGTTTCCAGCAGTCATGAAGTTTAGCCTTAATCTTTGAATCCACTGCTGTCTAGGGATATCCATGGAATCTGGATACAGTGAACTGAAACAGCACAAGCTCTGAACAGTTGATTTTTTGCTGTTTCCAGTGTACTCTAAGAGCAGCTACATTTTCACTGATGATTTGTCCAATATTTGCATAATGTGGTATATACAAATCTGCAGTTAGAAGACTCTCAGTCCTGGTTTGTTTCATGACAGTTCTCCAGTCCTCCCCCTGGAGTTTCCTACCTTATTTGTCTCTTGCCATACAGGAGAAGAGAAAATTCCCGTTTTCCAGTCCCTGCTCAAATTGCATACAGAAGCTTACTGGATTGAATTAGAGAAAATCAAACTTGAATAATTACTATGTTCCTCAATTTGAGATGAATTGGGATAATAACTGTACCCAAGTACAGGCTCCAGCAGATGTATTTGGTCCTTCAATCATATCAGAATATTGAAGAAACAGTTCTGGAACACACAAAGCATTAGCTAGAGCAGAACGACCAGAACAGACTTAACCTGTCTTAAAATGTCTTATCTATTTCTAGTAGTGGAAAATAATAAATAAGGTACACATTTACACTTCTGCATATCTTAGCCATCTGTTAAAACTTGCACATTTAGAATAAAGTGAATTCTCATATGCAAATGAGAAAAAAAAAAAAATCTAGAGATTCCTTAAACTAAAAATCCTGGATAACGACTTCCTGCCTAATCATGGCTCATCTGATGGTCATATTTGAAGCTCCATATTAGTCTCTGGATAGAAAGCTTTACTAGAAGAGTAGGAAGAAGCACAACTGCAGTAACAAGAGACTGATTTAATCTTCTTCATCATTAGGGGAAAAAAAATAAATGAAGTCACAGCATGGGATTCACTATTTAAATTTACAAAGCTTTAGTAACATTGTGCACAAGTGAGATCATGGTCCTACCCAGATACTTTTAAAGAGCTCATACTTTGTGAGCACAGACGCCAAGCTACTGAGTCCTAACCACAGAAATCAACTTCTCTTCTTGGATGCTGTAATATCGAGATAAAATTTTTTAATTGCCTTATGATGAGAGCACCAAAAGACAGCAAATTCTGTCTTGTATCATATGCCTGTCTAGTGGACAGCTTTGTAAAAAGAAATTCATAGCTTCACTCCTGGATATAAATGTCAAAAAAAAGATATGCATTCTAACTCATTAGGCCATGAAGGTAGCTAACAGCTATTTTAAATATATACTTAATAAATAAATAAAATTATGTCTATTTTATTATATATACATATTTATGTATATCTTTACGTGTGTGTGTGGTGTAAAATACAAATATATCCAGGTAACTGGAATCACTGGTGAAAATTTTTTTCAAAGATACACTGAAATAAAAACCGAACATGTGCAATATGCAAGTCATGTTACCACATGAATTAGGATGTGTTTAAGTTACCATATAGCATTAAAGCAAAATAAATCTCTCTTACTTCCATTCACATGTCTGAAGTGGAATTGTGGGGTTTCTTCCTTTATTTTACTTTAAATTTTCTTCACATAACTGTTGAACCAGAGAAATCTGTGTCACAAAAGAACTTGACCAATTGAAAATAATAATCAAAAAGTAAAAAAAAACAAACAGAAAAATTGCAGGAAGGAAAAAGACAAACATAGTTAAATCTCTAAATAGTTTGGTGTAAAATAAAGCATTATTATACCTGCGATGATGTCATCCATCTGCTCCAAAGCTGCTTCCAGCATATGACTAGCGTCAGAAGCCATCATCTGTGATTTCTTCAGACCTTTACTCTTTGCACTGAAAAGACAGATGAAACCATGTTTATTACACTAAACCAGAACTGATAGAAAAATGTGTCACTGTTACATTATCAATTTAACTACACAAGCAGAAGTCCACTAGCAAAAATACAGCCTAGTAATATGAAAACTAGCAAAATTGTTCCTATTCTTGATGGATGACTTGGAATTTCTGAGGTTTTAATTCATCGCTGATTCATATTTTTTTTTAAAGAGATTTTACTAAAACAAGGAAATGCAGATGGAAACAAAACCAAACAACCTCAACTACTGGAAGCTTGAGATTCCTCTACCCCTCATCCTTAACAACCATTTCCTAGATTTAAAGTTCAGTGCATTTCAATCTTTTGCACTGTGGGGAAAAAGAGGATTGACTAGGTTTCAATGAAGGAATGAACACATGGTGAAAAACATGCTTAAGCTATAAGCAGAACTCTGTAGGAGTTCTGCTTTTTTGATTGCTGCCTCAAGAGCAAAGACAATTCTGAAATAATTTTTACTACTCCTTTCCATACCCCTGTTCAATCTTTCTACCACTTTTTTCATGACACTGAAAATACAGTTCTTTCTGTTTCATTGATCAAAATGCCCCAAGTACGCAGTTTCTGAAGTTACTGCTGCCTTTTAAAACAGGATTAAATACATTCGTGGTACCAGATTACAGCAAGGATAACACACAAAATGTTTCCAAATTTGTCTCTACTTGTGAGTTGGTGTTGCTGGACTCTCAGTCAAGTAACAGTCATTATTGTCAACAGGTGACGTTTCAAAGGGAAAAAAAATTACTGCCCATTTCACTGCTCATGAGAAAATACTCTCTGAAATAAGGTCCTTCTGCACATCACTTCATCACTGAAGTATGAAACCAGTGCCCCCACAGCGATGAACAGAGATCGTACTTACGCATAATTTTTGCGGTGATCTAACACACAACTCAAAATACTGAAAAAACCTTTAAAGGGTCACAGAATTTTGATTTCTCTTCCATAAAGGGTGTGATTCAGTCTTTTTACATTCAGTCTTCTGATACAGCAAGTTTTTAACTTCATGATTCACACTGTTCAATTTTGACAGTTTCCTAAGCACCACAAAAAACACCTGTCTGACAATGTCTACAGGTATCCTCCAAATGATGCAGGTTGTGTTTGTGAGGCCGATTATTCCAGTGAAATTTCACTAACCTCTATTTATTGTGCAATTACCTATGCTAAGAACTCAATTATTTTGTATCTAAATAAATATTACGATAATATCTAATGGCAATTCACACAGGTGAAAATATTTTTCTAATGTGTTCATCCAGTGGCAGTTCAGACACTGGCCACCATGACCAATTGCATGACTGGTAGCTAAACCACTCACATTTACTCTCTCAGTTGGAGCCTGCCTAAACACTAGAATGTAGAATCAGCAGTCAGAAGATAAAGTCAGCTTTAAAATAAAAGCTTACCCATTTTTTGTTTCAGATGGACCATCAGAAAAAAAAAAAAAAATCCCTAAAAGTACTTTTCGGGCTGAGTCCAAATTACTGCATCATGAGAAATGTTCAATCTCAGTAATAAGCCCAGCGCAACAGAAAATTTTTACTAACAAGTCAAAATTATTCGCTTCTCTTACAAACTACAAACTAAGAATCTCAAGATGCTGACTTTTCTCTATAGTGCTGGTGAAATATACACAAAGCTAATTAAATAATTAATTAATGTAAATGTACACAACACAAAGATTAATGTAAATGAATGACTGGTTTTGGTCTCTCCTTTTTTGTCAAAATAATTTAAGGATGAACAATGCTAAATGTAACTGAATTTCACCAAAATGCATCTGACCCAGATATTTCATTTAATGGTGTTGTAAATAACACAAATTATGCTCAGAATAGTCTGGAAAGTCATTAAGTCAGCTGATACAAACTTAAAATTTCAGAATGCTTACATATGCAAACTTCAGAGACACTCCCTCTGATTTTGTTGCTACAATTTGTTGTTTTGGTAGATTCCCATCTCATCATATTTACCTGCCTGTAGCTTAGTAGATTCACTAAAAACTTTAGAGATACCTGATGCTCAACTGCAATGAGTCTTCTTCCTTGTGATATTTCCCCTAGTTCAAAGCAATCATAACATCGGTAATGATCACCTCAGTGAAAGGAAATCCACCGACTGTAACAGCTGCCACAGAGGCACCTCGGCTACCTTGCTCCTTTGGTGGATGTGGCTACCAGCCCCAGAAACCTATGGCCACCAGCTGTTTTGGTAAATCAGAACAGTAGACTGGCTCAAAATTAGAAGGGAGAAAAAGAGTGAAAAAAATAAAAAGAGCATAGAGTTTTGATTGCTACTTTGCACTGCATGCTCTTATTTGTGCTGTAAACTACTGTTCTGCATGCTTAAAGCGGCCAGAGCGATATACAGTTGTTATTAACAAGAAATGCAGGACCACCATTTCTTTTAAACATCAAATATAGTATTTGACCATATGTAGTGAAAAAGGTACAGAAAATGCCAATACATTACATTACAAACTTGAAATTCTACTTAAAGAAAAACTTTCAATCAACATCTTGGCACAAACCAGAAAGTTTTGCTGAAAAACACCACTAGAACTAAGTCTTCTGTCTCCTCCCAGCCTCTGCACTCTGCCTGTTTTCTCACCTATATCCCCAGTGTATTGCTTAAGTGCATTAAGCTAGAGTAAAACCTGCTGCTCAAACAACGATTTAATAACAAAAGCAACGTTCTCTGCTCCAGAGCGATAATGTAATACGACTTGTTTGACATCTTTTTCTAGACAGACCTGTTGCTTGTGCTTCAGGCAAGTCTTACTTTCCCAGCCACTCCCTTCTTGCAGTTTGTCTGTTCTGAACAATATTATGAAAATAGCTCGTTAGATCTCATATGCTTTCAGTTACCATTTCTGATCTAGTTCTACAGAAATATCTGCAATTGTGGATTTTTTTGGTATTATTATTAAATAAAAAGACACCTGTATCAATTGCAAGGCATGCCAAGTGCCTCAAACAGGATCCATCTATTTGCTGATATTTTAATTGCAATTCCTTTTACAGTTTTCATGCCTGAATGACATCAACAGCTGCAGAACACCATGACCCATCTACCTATATAAAAATATACATACATTTTGAAAAATAAAGTTTTTCAGTTTTGGTAAGGACTGAACAAAAACTATAACATTACAATACAAGCTTTAATTTTAGCAAATTGTAACCTTCAGGATTTATCAGATTCATTTATATACCAGCAAAATACAAGAACCAGTCTACTCACCTTTTCAGGTCCCTAAGAAGAAAAGAATTTACTTTTTTGACTGATCAGGAAAAATTGCTCACTATTAATAGCCAAAGTTTCACTGTTAAGCAAACATAAGTCTAAATTATTATCATCCCTTCTAAGCTACACACTCATACTAATTTAGAGCCCAGCCCACAGATAAAGATATTGCAATCCTGTTTGCTATAATTACCTAAGTAATAAGATCTTCCAGGAAGTGCAGACAGAGCAAACTGGTCTGAACACCCTAAATTTATTTTGCTCAGCTGGCTTTACCCTATAAATCCCAATCTGAGATTTGCATTTCAAATAAAATGAAAAAGCTCTGATAGAACTATTGTGCTTAGAGCCAATATCCCTTGCAAATTTCTTAACCTACTTTCTGTATGTAGAACTATATTTTACTGTGTCAAAAAAGAACATAACATTTAACAGACCTATTCACTATGAGCAAGATGTTCTTCAGAATTATGAAAAGCCTTAATTAAATTTGAATCTTTCATGGTTGCCTTGAACCTGCAGCCATCCAGAAAAAAGGATGTGAACATTTAGGTAACTCATAAATCAGAGGTTTTTCCAGGGTTGCTCCTAATAATGAGGTTGCCAACTTTATCAGTTATGGAGAGGGGTGTGGTTTTTGACATGAACTCTTGAAATCCAGATCTTGCCTTAATATCAATGCTTTGAGTGGCCTACAAATTTCTCTTCCATTTAGAAGACACACCTAATAATTAACTACCAACACCTTTTTTTTTCTGGGATTAATAAATACGTGTTTGTAAACTGTTCAAAGATTCAAATTCAAGTATCACACTGCTTTGTACTTAATGGAAATATCAAGTGGCTTGGGTGAGCCTCAGAAGTCCTCCACACTTTTTTCAGCTGCAAGATGACACCTGAGCCGGAACGAACAAATGTGCACAATTTCCACCCCTGCCATTTCCCCTCTTACTTCTCCCCCAGCTACATGCTGTATTGTATTAGGTCACCCCACAGTAACACAACTGCCAATTCATCTGTCCAACCTGGCTCAGGAGTTCTCAGGATACCATTATACAAAGTTATAAATACATACTTGGATCCTGGCCTTTTAGAACCTGGCATACCTCTCTAATTAAGTTAATACTTAGTCATAAATAACCATCCACAGCTGCTGGGAACAGAATTTCTGATGATCACTAGAATGACCACCTAGGGAACACTTAGCAGCATCCTGCAGGACTATCCACCCAGAAATCCTATTCATCTGATTATAGCTTAAATTTAACGTATTTGTTAATACAGACACTACTTGCTCTATTTCCTCTTCATATGCTGCATTAGAATAGACAGAAGGTTAAAAAGAACCTGTCCTTCATTTATTACCCTTTATGGAAGAAATAAAAAGAAGACTATAGAGATTTTTTGAAGAATAACTAGAAGGGGAATTAAAAAAATATATTTATTTTCAGCTAGAAAGTGTAAAGGCTCCACACTAAGTGGGAAGGGGAAGCTCTAGAGAGAAATATAGATTAGGCAAAGTTGAACAAAGACCTGATATTCAGCTATTTCAGGTAGATGGTAGAAGAACTGGTAAAGTCTCTAGTCAACATATTGCTGGGAGTCCTCATACGAAGGGCCATCCTTAGGTGAAGCACAATACTAGTACAGTACCTCCATGATGAAAATGAGCTAACTAAG